AAAATCTTTACAGTACACTCACAGAGCGTCAAAATCTTTCATCACCTGATAGTCAAAGTAGACACGAGCAGCCCTGAAATATTTGCACACTCACTCTGCTACCCTGCAAGGATTCAGCTATCCATGCATTTATTTATCTGCTAACTGAGTCTCTCGCTGGACTGTTTAATGTTGTTTAACTTGAAATCACTGACTGAGGCCAATTTGACACTAATTGAAGCAGAATAAATGACTGTGCTTTTTGTGTTTTCAATACGTGGTAACCTGAAGAGAACTTGAATCATTTACGAATCATCTATCATTTGCATTCAGACCAAACGCTCTGTAAACATGTTTCCACATGTGCTCATTCCACAGTCGCCCTGCCAAACAGCAGTCGGCACACTGGTGAAAGGAAGCTTATCAGAGCCCACTATGATTTTCAGGGAACCCCATAGAAAGAACTCCATTATTCTTAGGTCGCAGTCCCAGAATATATCATATTTGTTGAATCATTCGAGTTGTACATTTTTGAGTTAATATTTTCTTTCTTAGTGGGACCCTGGCGGATTTTGTACTCTCACAATTTCAGGAGGGTTGGTAGGACAAAATCTGATTAGGGTGAGTGTTGTGTGCGCCTTTGCATGTGCCTGTGTAATGGACATGAGCCCCTCAGCATTGAATGTGGGTGTGTACATGCAGACCTCGGCTCAGCACGGAGATGTAATCTGATTTGCAGAAGGGAATGGGTCGTTTCACATGACTGGTTTAAAAGACCGCTGGCGCAAGGTTGTGCCAGTGTCCCTGATTGGTATGTGTGCATGTGCTTTTTATTTGCATGCTTTGCATAGACACACACATATTATACATTTATATTTTGACAATGACTTCCATTACTTCATTCATTTCTATAGCCTGAACCCTTAACCTACACCTAACCATTACCATTACGTGCCTAACCCTTAACTTTACCTAAATCAAATTCACAACTAAACCTAACCCGATCCGAAAAACAGGACGTCTTCTTATGGGGCCTGAACATTGGGCCCCATAAGGAGTAGTGGATCCTCACAATGTAGTATTTACTGGAAAAAATGGGCATTACTACCTGAGAAATGCTAAAACAAGCACACATACACGCGCAGAAACACACACACCATTTATTTGTTTTCACAACGCACTCCGTGGAAATATGAGTGTTTGTTGGTACAGGCTGCCACACAGTAGAAATGGAAAGGTGTTGAAGTTTGCGGTACAGCTCAACGAAACCAGGCTGCCACATTTATTCCATTGGCCTTAGGTTTAATTGTGATTTGTTTGGGGAAGGTTATGTGAACTAAGACCACCACTAATTAACAGCCAATTACACATCTGGAAATAAGTATAAAACTCTACTTTGCTGTCCGAGGCAGGTTTTTGTTTGTGATTCCTGTTTACATTTATCTCATAATCATAGATTAATTTGAGCTAATGGACCATCAGAAGTTATGTCAAATAATAGAAATAATCTTCTGTAGTGGGTTGCAGCAGTATTAGTTCCCTTCAACTTTTGACATAATTTGCCAGGCCACAGCCAGAAACCTCAATGTATTTTAGTGGTTTTACATGCGTGTATACAACAACACAAGTTAGCACACATTTTTGATCATGATTTTTAAAATATTTTACAAGTAAAGATTTGAAAAGCGTAGCTTGGTAATGTTTTTTGTCAATATTTTATATAGCCACCTTTTGTAACAATTAAAGCAGCAGTGTTTTTTGGAGCAGGGGTTAAGCACAACCCACATATGGAGGCCTTAGTTCTGAACACAGATGTCACAAGTTCGAGTACTGGGCTGATGACCTTTGCCGCTTGTGTTGCCCCCTCTCTCAATACCCACTTTCCTTTCAATTCAATTTCAAATAAAGGCCACAAGAGCCAATAAAACCGTACAAAATTAAAGGCAGCAGTCATTCGGGGAATGTCTCGCTCTTCCACAGAGACTGAGGATGAAATCTTTGTCCATTTTCAAAATAAATACAGCTCAATCAGTTTGGGTTGGAGAGCATCTTTAAAAAATCTGTTCATGTCCCACCATAAAATCCAAACAGTTTTCGTCATGGTGTTAGCTGCATGTTGTTTTCCTGCTGAAAGGTTAAGTCTTTTGCAGCAGAGAAGAGGTTTACCTCAAGTATTGCTCTGTATTGAACTCTCATACAGACCAGCCTGTCCCTTCTGGAGAAATCCATCCCCATAACACAATGCTGTCACCACTGTGTTTTATCTCAGAAGTGGTTTGTTCAGGCTAAGTTGAAGTCTTAGTTTTCTGCCACACATGGCATGATCTCATCTAACCAGAGCAACTTCTTGCTATAACCACTACATGACAAGCAGTTGAGGTTTAAACAGTGACCCACAATGCAGATGTTCACAGATACTTTCACCAGAACTGTGGATCTCTGTAGCTCCTCCAGAGTCATTATGGCCAAGTTGATTTCTTCTCTGATTAATGATTTTTTTTTGCACAGTTTGTCAGTTCAGGCAGATATCCAACACACACTATTTTGGTTTTCAATTTGATTTCCACATTTTTCAGATGACAGTAGTAGTTCACTGTGTAACTTTCATCAGTGATGAGTTGTAGGATGTAACCATAGAATGCATTATGTTTATTTGTTCTTTAGCCTGTTAATAAATGTATTCTTTTCAGTCTTGAGATCATTACTTGTGGTCATAACAAACAATAGGAGACCTAAGAAGTACTAAGTGATCTTTGATGTTTCCACACATTGGACTTTTTATTAATGCAAAACACATCTTGTATGTGAGGAGTGACCTCAGAGTTTTCATGCTTGTCTGGTCTGGACACTTTTTAAAGTGCGTGCTTGGTATTTGTTCGTTTTCTTTCCTGTCTGTGGCGAGCTTATAAGCACGAAGCTCTGATCCCATCAAGCGTGTCAGCGGGGGAAGTTTTTCATAAGGTAGTAATCTCACAACACAAAGGGGTGTCCAATATTGGAGAAGGCCCCCACTTCTGAGCTAATCAAGAGCTGACAAACTCTTCTACTTGCTCACCAACCTCTCTAAACATTACCTCATTGGAAGCTCAGCTAAACCTCATGCACCTCCAGTCAGCTGGTGTACATGATAACTCACTTAGCACAGTGTGATAGCTTAGAAAAAAAAGCTGAAACACGAGAAAGGGCATAAAAGAAGCAAAAGCAGGACACAACTACCTGTGGCGCCTGGTGCCAGAGAAAGGTATTTTTAAAAGGAAAGAACCATTTTACCATGTCCTCCAGAACTCTGTGAAGCAATTTCCCAGTATTCAGTTTCTCTCCCCACTGTCTTATTATTGCTGTTTTCCCCCTCAACTCTTGGAGCCTTCAACCTGAAAGGAGGTTTTTGAGTTTGGGCTTTGTGTCACTCGGAAACAGTGCATTTGTTGCCAAGGTAACCTGTCCAGGACAGAGAAACTTAGACACAGCAAGCACCTTTGACTTGGGTTTGGATGGATTTGGACCTGAGATGTGATTACTTTAGCTCGTGCAGCTTCAGGCTGAAATGTGTTTGCATCTAAATAACAATAGGTTGACTGAGCCAATACTGACCTGAACCTGGTAACCTTATATAGTAACACAACTTAAATTGATAATGTGTAATTAAAAAAGCAGAGTGTTGTAGGCCCCCCCAGAAATGTTTAAATTTAACAGAGTTGGCTGAGCTAACTTTCCAATAAAGGTTTTACTTTTAGTGCCGTTTATTGGAAAACTGCAAAACTGCCTGAACTATTTGTAACTATAAAGCTACCTCTGGTTGAGAAAGAACCTAAAGATTAAGAACTAACCTAATGGTATCCCCCACCATGTCTAATTTGAAGCAAATGTGATCTTAAATGACTCCATGAATTATGGAAATAATGATGCTTTCTGTCCTTCAGACAAATTAATCTGTTTAGCAATTATCACCATTTGCAATGTCTGATACCAAGACAAGAAAAAAAGCCTCTAGAAGCTAAGTGAAGTAGAAATAGTGGGCTTCTTTTTTCAACAACAATTCTCATCAACACTATTCATGTACTGTTTGTGTGTCACTTCTAGTGAAGTAGGTTCAAGTTAGTATTTGACAACATGCTTGTTTGAGGCTCTTATTTATTACTTATTACTTATTTAAATAATTACTGGTTGCTTGATTTTCAGAAAATTTTGAGAAGTTAGAGGAGCAGAAGGCCTGAATGTGTTTTCTGGTATGTCTGTGATAAGTCCAGAGACAAATAGCATGTCTATTGATAGTTCACAATGGCAGTGATTTGTAGTAATTTCAATGTGATGAGACTCCAAGTTGACATCCTATTTTTCTAGGGTTAAGGGTTAGGGGAAGGAATAGTAGGAATAGGAACAATAAATAATTGAGATACACATTAAACACAGGGCTAGTTTGAGACAATATATGATACTTCAAAGTCTGAAATTGCAGGATGTTCTTTTATTGTTTACGAATCTATAGTTTTAATTAAATCACCTGAACCACTGTATGAGCCGATTTGAGGTTATAAACATTTCATCAATAATTGTATCACACATTTGTTCTTCCTGGCCAGTTTGAAGCCACTGAGGTTAAAAATCACACTTTTGACATTACCAGCACATTTTGCATCTGAAACGGATTTACTTTAAGGACAAATAATATATTGTGAATACACAATTTACATGCTGTCGCATCTCAAAGGCAGATTTACTGTCTGTGTTACCAAGCCATTAAACAGGAATATGCAATAAGTTTAGTGTACACAAAGTAAAGTTTGGACATCTCTTGAAGTGTCTAGAGTGCCCAGACTAGCCCGTTTTACTTTTTATTTTATTATTATTATTATTTTTAGTTTTATCTTCATTTTTTGTTCTTTAAAATGAACCCTAGTTTCTCCATAGTTGGAACTTTATGAATGCAAGTTTGGGTAGACCTAGACTGAATTCGATTCCTTACTCATCCAGGAAAGCCTTTCTGAATCATCTTTATTTCCCCCATCTTTTGTCTTTTTCAGGTCATTCCAGGTGAGCAGCGAGAAGAGGCTGAGTAATGGAAACTCTATCTCAACAGTTTTAAAAGGTAGAGATGTCTCTGATTTCTCCTTCTTCATCACTGAGTTTGTTCACACACATTGCAGACTTATTACTAATTCTGACAGTTGCCACACACAACTCCAGTTTGTTGGTTACTGATAAAACAGACATTTTGAGACACGTGATCACTGCATGTCATCCGGGGAACGACAAAGGATTTGTACCCTTCATTTTCTCTCTCTCTCTCTCTCTCTCTCTCTCTCTCTCTCTCTCTCTCTCTCTCTTTTTTTTTATTGTGTAATCTAAGTCATGACAGCAAAGTAAAGAATGCAGTGGCACTGAGATATCACTTCAAACACAGGAGCCTCAGATCCCTTCAGTGGAACTGAGAAGATATGCTTTGATGGCCCACCACAGAGTCGGTGGCCTTCAAAGGAACTTGGTAATGGGATTTTGCAGGGCAGCCAGCAGGCTGAATGACAGGTACTGTATAAGTGTACCCATCACGGTGGTCATGGGTGATTTTAGTGGAGTTCAGATGAGCAATCATTTTCTATAGTTTTTTTAAGGCTCATAATATCTTCTTCTGCTGTCTTGTTGGTTCTGTCAGTAAGTGAAGGGGAACTGTGTATGGGTGGCTGGGCGCCAGCAGACGGGTACAGTAGATGGGCTTTTGAGAGAGGGCAATAGGGGCTGCCAGCCCTAGTTGCAGCCTCCAGCACAAAAAGATATAGATGGGCAGGCAAAGACTCAAAGGCAGGTTGGGACCTGGATCCTATGCGCTGATGCTGCTCTCGCTGGCTGCACTCCAAGGTGAGGCGCAGGAAAGAAACGTGGGAAGGGAAAAACCAGAATCCAGGCCAGAGAGAGAGAAAGATCCAGAAAACAAGTACAAGAGCACAAAATCTGACCAAGGCAGCAAGTAATAGTCATAGATTTTTAACAAAAGTCACATCCTGTACGGTGGTGGAATGTGATTCCTTGCAGGTAAACCAGCTTGTCGGTGCAGACAAGCAGAAAGAAGATGAGAAATAGTGATTGATGACTACTTATCCTCTGACACATTGTTCCTTCCCTTCTTTCGGCAAAGACCGGGCGAGCCGGGCCGGTCACACCACTTTGCTGCCATAAAAACTACAGGGTTGAGTGGCTGCTGTGCGGAGGCGGGCAACATTATGTCATTTTTTTCTGGGGAGATTACGTGAACAAGTGCAGGTACCTCAAAGTCTGGGTTGTCAAGATGCCACCTACATGCATTACCTAATTTGAGATTGCTCACTAACCTCATCTTTATCTTTAACTGTTTTGTTGTCCTCTGTTAAAAACGTTGCATGCACTTTTTTTTATTATTTTGAACCTCTGGAATGACATATGAGAATCTTTTAAATCAGATCTTCAAGCCTGGACTTGTTGAGGCTAATCTCCAACTTTTTTTAATGCAGGAGCCAATTTCAAAGCTCCTGCATTAGAAAAAGACCTTCTAAAGGGATAGTTCTGATGTTTCTGAAGTGGAATTGTCTGCAGATGTTAAACAGGCTTTGACCAGATTTCTGCCACTTTTCTCTTGTCTGAGAAAATAAAAAGTTCAGATTACATAATTTACACATTAAGCGGTACACAATGAGCCCAACAGAATAAACCTTCATAGAGGCAAATAAGGTGTTGAACAAAGACATCTGGAATGACGTACACAACAGACAGGCACTATTTTATAGATACAGAAATGTCTTACTAAATTGGATGTTCAGATGATGTTCAACACATGCCCTTGATTTGTTTTGGACTCCTTTTGTATGGATTACTGCATCAAAGCAGTTTTACCAACAGGCGTCCATCCTGTTACTATGCTAAAGGTTTTATTTAAGTCCAGGATAATTTAATAGCAGCCTTTAAATCATCTGTAATATGTAATAACTACATTTTGTATCAGAAATTACTAAAATATTTAATAGATTAGCATGTGTGTGTACTATTGTAACATTTTTCAAATTATTATTTTTTTCTACAATGCCTTAAATACATCCCAACCACATATACTCTGATTACTATTTGTCAAAGTTGTTTTGATATCTGCCAGAGGTAAGACATTAACTATGCCAGATCTCCCTCCGTAGAACCCCACCTCAAATATCCTAAGCCCAGATTTGGGTTTGGTTTCATACGTTTGTTTTAAATAACTCTTTTTCTACAAGGCAGTTAAATTCAACATATACCATTTTTAAATACATTCATTTTTTACAGTGCCTACATTATACAGTAAAACATCAGGTTCCATTTTTAAGACACTTATTTCATAGAAACATTACTACTAAAGAAATGATGCAGTACAACTAAAAGAAAAATACTGAAAAACGTATACACTTCGAATTTTCTGTAAATCGGCTTAAAAAAATATGAATGTTCAAACTGGTTCTTTGTGGCCGTAGTCAATCATAACTTTCTATCGTCATGTTTCTAGGATCACACCTAATCGTGAGCTGGTCGGTGGACCTGCATCCTCCTGCAGCAGCAGCTGTGCGCTCCTGGCCTGGCAAGTGAGCTACTTCCCTGACGATCTAGCTGTCAGGTTCGAGCCAGGACTAGAACTCGGAAAAAAGCTGTGACATAAACTCTGAGGCAAAGTGGAGAGGATTCAGCAGCTCAGACATTGTGGAACACATCTGTCAACATCTGGATACATGCTCAGTAGAAAAATCGATGTAATAAATGTGCTAATGCCACAGTTACATCAACCATCTACACATTGTTTGACTTTCTCATTTTTTCCTGAATTGAACTTGGATAAATATTGTTTCTCCATGTGCATCTGTTCTTGATTTTCAGTGCTTCTTCAGGCTGTGACATTTATTCATGAAAAGGGATCACCAACCGCTGGAACATTTAAAGGATAGTAATCTGATTGACTTTTAATTTTGTGCATCTTTTGCAGATGCACAAAATTAAAGAACATAAAATCAGTTTTGTACAATGCCATACAAAAGTATTTATATTGAAGTTTTACAACCCCAAACCTCAATACATTGTAATGGGATTTTAGATTAGATAAAAAACAATAGTTTATAGTTGAAATGTGAAAGAGCTTGACGGTATGGTTTCTAAGTATTACAGATAATATTCTGAAACCTCTTTTCTGCGCATGTACTTACAGTTTGCTGCAATTACAGATTTTTGGGAATGTCTCTACTTATTTTGCCATTGTACAGACTGATAAATTACCTACCTGACATTTTTCCTATTTTGCTACTATACAAAGTAGCTAAAAGTTTGCCACATTTGATGAAGAGCTTGTGTTTTATCAAGACTGGCCAAAGAATCTCAATTAGATTTAAGTCTGGACTTTGACAGGGCCATTCAAAAACATGAGAATGCTTTGAGCTAAACTATTTCATTATAGCTCTTCGAAAAATTGGAAATCTCTTGTACTGTTTAGCGTCCTGCGTGTTTTCTTTGCCTGGCTTGTAGTTCCAGGCAAAGACTCGGACCAATTAGTCCTTGCTGAAGAAACAAATCTGTGCAGCATGATGCCACCACTGCCATATTTTACCATGGGAATGATTTAGTGTTACTTTACTGCCTTCTGGAAGGAACTTGCTTCAGTTAGAGATATCAGAGTATAAGGGAGCCTAAAGACATATGCATGCCACATAATGCATGGCCATTATTCTAAACTTCACAATTATGCACTACTTTGTGCTCACACAAAAATGCATTGAAGTTTGTGGTTGTAATGTGAAAATTTTAAGTGTTGTCAATGCTTTTTGTGATGAACAAAATCAACATATATGAGATCAAGGTGCTGTGCTGAGCCTGTTTATTCAGTGGAACTGCAGCTTCTGTCTTCCAGTTCCCTTCACAAAGACACCATTGTTGCAGGTTTTTGATGAATGCCAACCGAAAACACTCCCAACTGCATTTCTTTGTGACACATTGGCAGTCTTTTAATGTAGGCCGATCATCCTGGCACATTGTTCGTTATGATGATGATTTATAGCTCCATCCCTTTTGTTGTGTCTGCAAAAACTTGTTAGCAGAAATAAAAAGAAAGTGTATTTAAGCTGCTGTCTGTTTGTTCTGTTGCTGCACCTGGGAATTTATATGACTAATAAGCAGCGAGATGTTGTTTTATTTAATGACTGCTATGCGTCTTTTATTGCTTTTAGTTATAATGTTTGCTTCGTTACAGGTTTTGTCGGAGGTGTCTCAATTATAAAAGTCATAATTAATTTGCTGCGAGAGATTCAGGATCATCTTCATTTTCTACTTCCTTGCCATTGTTAGGTTCAGTTATTTTAAAGGTATGGGGAGGTTTGGGTTTAAAAGGATTTAGGCAAGTATAAGTTTGCACTCACAAAGCTAAGTAGTAGAAACTATTCAGTTCTGGGCAGTGGTTTTAATGCAATCTTGGATAGGAATGTAATGCGAATTGTCTCCAATTGTGATTATTTGTACTGTTCTGTGTCTATATTTGGAATGAGTATACTGAATATATCAGTAACACTTTTAAAATGTAAACATTTGAACTATATTTAAAAACTAAGATCAAATTTGTTGTGATTGTTTTATATAATTTACACAATTTCAAATATACATGCATATTTAATTGTACATTATTGTTAACGAAAACAATAATAATGATAATGATAATACAGACCTTTGGGCACTTAAATAACTTAGAAACATCATAATATGTAGGAGAAAACAAAATACAGAAACCCTTCAGCTGTAAAATTAAATACATACATATTTAATTATTGGGAGTGTACAAACCCATTTAAATCAGACCAGCCTAATCTCAAACCTATTTGTAGAAGTAAAAAAAAATGTTAGTTTAGATGCAGTGGAAACATTGGGAAGGGGCTTGGAGATGGAGCTTCTTGGCAGAGAGAAAAGAGGAAGACAACCCAGACAATTCATTAATTCATATATATGGTGAAGAAGGGCATGGAAAAGGTTGGGTTAATGGTCAACAAGGCAAAGGTTGAAATGATAAGAAAGTTGATCAGATGAAAGGATGATCTTCTATGGCAAGAGCAGCCAAAAGAAGAAATTTTGGAGTTAAAAAGAAAATGTATCACAAGTTAAATTCTTAGGGGCTTTAGGAGAGAGGATCAGTAAGGTTTTTTTTCTGCACTGAGGTATTTTTATGTCACTTTTGTATTTATAATGTCAACAGAGAAGTACCGTATATCTTAGTCTGGTTCAGCATGAGTCAGACTGTTGGGAGTTTTTCACCAATCACAAGTCAAAATCCCCACAGGGTCTTTTTCACATGTAGAAACCCATGCCAGCCTAAAGCGTAAATATAATTATTGCTTTCAATTAGACTGAATAAGTCCAGCAAAGTCACTTCCTATTCTAATGTCATTCACTATCGATGTCTGCTGAGAACAGGGGGAACTTCGTCTCTAAGAGTGAAGGAGCGTGTGTGGAGGTGCTAAGAGGGTGCGGTTATTTTGTGAGGGGTTGCATGTTGTCATCACTTTCAGTTCAGTAAAAAGCTAACTGTATGCTTCATGCTTTTATTCTCCAGCTTGTTGTAGTTTTGACAAGTTTTGTCAAACATCATATGGATTAATTAAGAACTACATCTGAAGGAGACAACAATACAAAATGAAATAAGAAAAGAAGACCGAGGGCCCTCTCGCTGATGTTTTGTAACTTGAGCTTCATGACATCTTTATGGCTCTGGTTATAGTCAACAACATTAGCATGTCCACAATGCATTTCTCTTCTTGTCTGCCTCCCCCGCTTCTTTTTTCTTCTGTTTTTTTTTTCACACACATACACATAAACACAACTCTTGGGGTGGGGGGAAATGACCTCTATGCAGCTCTCAATTCACTGCACTTCTATAGCTTTGAATGGAGCGGCTCAACAAAAGGTGACATAATTTTCTCAGGGTTTGATTGGCCCCCTCCATGCCACAAGATGACATCATGTAGGCCCCGCAGAAACACATTAACATGACCACCAGCACCCTTACCCCTCTGTTCTTGGATGCTGGGTAGTAAAGACAAGAGTGCAAGGCCTGAGCAGTGGGGCAGGACTTGGGAGTATATCGCATTGCAGCGTGGCTGTCCATAATGAGCCAAGGCAGCGCCGCTCTTGTGTTTGTGGTAAACAGTCTTGGGAAATGATACAGAGAGATGGGAAGAAGGGGGATGTGCAACACATTCTTGGATATAAGGTCTTGAATCCTTTACACTGAGATAACATTACACAGACAGAAAACATAAGAAAAACATCAACAAAAACTCTGTTGCCAATTAGCTTTAGCTTGAGTGAGTTGTAGAATGCCAAGAGAATAACTACGGGTGTACATTTTTCATAACATTTCTATTTTTACAAGAGCATTTTGTACTGATCAGTAGTCTATTTGCTGGTTCTGGCTTCTTTTCAAGACTAAGAACTCTGCAATCTCAGAACCCAGCAGCTCTCTGTGTAGGAGATGTGAGGAGAACTGATCAATCAATCAGACAGATGTGTTGACCAAGACATGCAAATTGCTTACGCATTCTTTCGACTAAAGGAAAATCAAAAATATTGTAGCAAAGTAATTTTGGAGATAAAGGCCTGTTCAATATCCGGAGATTTTTTCGCAGCCAAAGTTTTAAACTTCCAATCTTCGAAGTTATCAAAAAATTGACATTGATATCCAAAAAACTGAAAAGGCATTTATTGCAGATATCCAGATATATTTATAAATAGACTTATGGTCCATAAAGGTTCCTTTGTAGCTACAGAAAAATGCTGCTTTTGTGTGCGTGTGTGTGTGTGTGTGTGCGCGCCAATCAAACTCCAGCTGTTATCACTGCTGCTTTGATAAAAAAGCTTGGTTTGAGGTGGTCCTCCTCCTTAGCAGAGTCCCAAGATGGCCGCTACAGAGGACACACCCACAAGGTAACAAACATTTCCCAGACAATTACACACTCTAGAATTCAAAACGTTAAAGAAAAACACATTGCTTCTTAACAGAAAGGTCTCATCTGTTTTTTGAGTTTAGTCAAAAACTTAAATGAAGAAATGTTTTAGTTGAGTTTCAAGGTTCTAAGCAGAGGTTGCATTTTTTTCATGCAAACTCTGCATAGAAGTTAAGGAAAAAAATATGCCTGTGAAATGTAAATTTTCTTCTGGTTTGATTTAATTTTTCATAATTTCCCCTAAAAATAGTGCACTGGTAATAAAAAATAGAGTGTTTGTTCTCGTAGAATGGCCTCTTGGTGAGATTAAAATTGATAGTAAATACTCAACTAGGCAGGTTAACTATATTTTTAATTTGTTTGAGCAATCAACACATTAATTGCAATTTTTTTTTCTCCCTGAACTGCTTTCTCTTCTCTGTCTTGCTCATGATACCTGGTGATTTGTAGTTTTTAGTCACACGGTATCTGTTTATATGAAATTACCTCATTCTGTCATTACACAATGTGGGAGTTTTTGCAATTTACCCTATTTAATCAATTTATAACATGAGCCAGGAAGTGATAATCTTTCTAAAGTCTCAAAACGGTGAAAGTTCCCTCTTAGTTTACTGGGGCAACACTTGGGAATCTAACTAAGAATGCCAATTTTCATCTTGGTGTTCATTCAATACCCTTACAGAACATATTAACATCACACACATACAAATGGCCACTTCCTCTTGGAATTGTCATTAATGAGGATAATTTGAAGTGAGGTTGACATGCTGCTCAGAGCCAAACCATCTTGGTTCCCAACACTCCTGCAACATAGACGCCTTTAAACACACTCCAAGCCATTTCCTCAAATCGGTGCGGTATTCAAAGGGAAAGAAAAATGACGAAATTACCGCTTGGTTTTGGAACAGGTCCATGCTTCATGTTGATTGTTACTTTTTGCAAGATGCACGGTATTGCTTGTTTTGGTGTGCATTCAACCTGTTTAAATACTTTCTTCTGTTTCTTCCTCCAGACAATTGCTTTTCCAATGAAAGGTTGTTCTTGAAGCAGTTTGTTTTGCTCTGTTCTTACATTTTCTTCTGGTGTAATGCGATTAATTCTAGCGCCCACCTCTGATTTTCTCGGAAGGCAGAATTGCTACAGTGTTTTTTCTTAAACTTTGATGAGCAATGACAGGGTATTGGTTACTTTTGGCATGTAAAGGATGCGTGGGCTCCCAAAGTTCATGACGTCAAACCACTCAGCTCTTCTTGCGCATGAAAAGTGGTAGGAATCCACGACTAAGTCATTCATTTGTATTTTTGTCCACAAATGTGCTTGATAAAGTGGATGTTGATAAAGTGGATCAACATCCACTTAATTGGCACTGGATGTATTAATGTATTAAGAAAACCATTAATACATTCATTTCTTATGAATTAATTAATATATTAATGCTCGGACTGCAAACAAATTGATATAAAAGGTACTCACAGTACCTTTGTACTCTTCAAACGCCAACCACAAATTTCAATGTAATTCTGTGGTATTTAATGCAATGGACCATAACAAACGGCCATTCTGGCTGAAATGTAAGGAATTGTATTTGCATATATTCTGAAAAATATTCTGTCCATTTTGTTTATCTCACATCTCCTGAGTAATTTTTATTTATTTTTTTTGGAATGACACATTGGTGCAATTAAATTTTCATGTCTAGTTTGTCTTTACCATCTTAAGAATAGCAAATTTACCTGTTATTAACAAAGAATCTAACCTTCTGTAAGAAGAGACAGAAGGGCTCAGAGAGAACAAATTTGCAGTGTTTCTTAAGGATTGAACTTTGAGCCATTATTGCTCATTATGGATATGTTTTGATCTAAACATTTGGAGCTTTGCTTATTTAGGGTTTTTTGTCCTTCAGGAAGGTGAATCTCCACCAAGTTTAAGTCTTTGAGTCCTAACAGGTTTTCTTCAGGGTTTGCTCTGTATTTACCTCTATCCATTATTCTATCAGCTCTGACAAGGAAAAGAAAAGCATCCCACAACATAATGCTGCCACTGCCATGTGTTACCACAGGAGTATTGTAATGGCAGTGCAATGTCATTTTCCCTCTAAACATTGAGTTTTGGAAGTAAGCCAAAAATTACACAG